AAATATCCATTTATATATATTCATGCACAAACAATTTTTTGTCGGAATAGAAATGTACTTCATGCAAATTCCTATAAATTCATAAAAATCCATTCGGATTGAAAAGGATTCAATGTTTGTGAATGCGTATTTCTGAAAATCTATATAAGTCCATTTTAATTCATTTCAAGCCATTCCCGTTTACTAGGAAGACATTATTTAAGATGATCTTGAAATAAGAATAAACTATGAATACCGGCTATAGTCTTAAGGCGTATAATAGCAGATAACGATTCTCGTTCTTATTCTTTCTTTCTTAAGTTTTGTTTTCCAAGTGTACATGCTAGTTTAATGCACAGAAATTCTCTTCGTCCTGTCCTTTGCTTAAGAATAGGATCTAAAAATAAGTTAAACATAAATAAGAGATCGTTGAGATGCATAATAAGAAAGAGTTTTGCTGCACGTGGCAGTTAACTATAATTGCAGCATGAGTCTTGTTTTATTATTCAGAACTAACAAGACTCATACATTATTGCTCTCCGATAGTAACTCATGTTGTATCTAACATATTGAAACTTATTTGCGCTGAATTCTAAGGTCAAATTCATTTCCACAATTAATTTGCATTCGGACTTTGCTTCAACACCTAGTGCGGACTTCAATTACGTCATTCAATGTTGACAGATTTTTTTTAGGTAAATTTTAAAATCTACCGCGTTAAGTTTAAGGACAATTGCTTCAGACTGTTTTTAAAATCCGTTCCACTCCCACCCTTGAATCACCTTTCGCACAACTCGCGAACTCGCTTTAAACGATCAAAGATCCAGTCTCGAATCCGACAACCTCGACACAACATTCGTTGAATTCGAGTACGAAGTGCAGAACATAACAACGGCGACGGATTAGTATAATAATAAGTGCGCGCGCGCGCAGATCGTCTCGCAATTTGTTCAAGGATTTATTTTTCTCTTACGGTCGTGGATTACCTCACAGTATATATTACTTGAAACTAACGTGTACATCAAATAGTAATTGAAAGATTATCTTTCTATGTGAAATGTCGAGCGGTTCTATGGATACGACGAAAACCGAATGTGTAAAAATAAACGTGCAGCCGACGAATCACAATGGTACGTTCCTATCTTTACATCTTTTTAGAGCGATCACTTTTGTGTATATTCGGCAAGGTTTTGTCAGTGCCCTTGTCACCCCGAATTTTAAATTAGGACACGTTTCGAAGCGCGCGTTTCATGATTATTAAAGTCGTCGCGTGATTGTTGGCTGGTAATAATTTAATAATTTATTTTTTATGATAATAATGTATAACTAAATGTAACAATTATACTATATGTTCTCTAAATTCTTTGAAATGTCACTTTAAACAGTGAAAATTGAGCCAGTCTTAAAAAAGAATTAGAATAGTTATGAGATTTTTAATTTTTAAGAGTAAGATTCACTCTAAAAGTTTTATAACTTCACATAAAAAATTATATAAATATATATATAACAAATAATATCGTTTTCTTACTTCAAAAGTGACGATCGTGATAGAAAATTGCGTGGCTGCTCTCTGTACCAAAGATTCGAGTTTAAATTTACCTAGAACACACATATCAGATTTTATTTGATCGTTATCTCTCTAAAAGCAACGACAAATAACCGAGAGTATTTTTGCCATGACAACCTCTTCTAAAAGACTAGATTCTTCGAATCATTAAAAACTGTGGCTCACATATGTATTGTATATTAGAAAGTGGATACATGTAGAAGAGTTCACCATGTTTCTAACAAGAGATAATCGAGAAGAAGACTTGAAAAGTGACACAGAAAAACTTAAAGAGTTAAGTTTTTCAGAAAAAGGAAAGAACTATTTTTTTAACTTAACAGAGAAAATTATTGACTAATTAAATTATCGATAAAAAAATACTCTTAAAAACATCAAATGTCATTTTTCTCATTTTCAATAATAACATGGATCAGTGAATCAATAGTATATCAAAAAATGAGATAAAAATTACAAAAGAGTAAATAAATAGTTCAATAAAATATTTATAATTTTATCAGCACCTAGTGAATTTTTTTTCACTTTTATAATTTCATCTTATTTCAAGATAATACACAATTATATATAATTGATCCATAGAAGCATAAAAAAGCCAGCGCTAAATATTTTATGCGTAAACAACTTTATTGATTTGTATCTTACAGTAACAACAAACGTTTCCGACTTTTCTATTAGATCATTTTCAGTATTTCAAATTAAAAAATTAAAAAATTACATTATGTAATTTCCTGAATTATACGAATTCAATTATATTATTATATCGTATAAATAAAATGGAAATTAAAGACAAAACCTATTAATGTATACATATCCTTATTGTTCTTAATTTGTCTTTAATACGTTAAACAAATTCTATTAATTAATTTAATAGTTCTATTCGTATTACTTAATATAAATATAAATAGTGCCGATTAAGTTAATTAATTCCCAGCAAACAAGAATGGATTGAAATTTTTTTCTATCCGAATGCACACACACATATTTTTAATAACGAAATACTTTTTTTTTTTTTGGATTTAATTGGATTCAATTAGATTCAATTGGATACAATTGGATTGAAAACAATATTCACAATGCACAGAAGAAGCTAGTATCATTTTACGATTGAAAGGCATAGAGACATGCTCCATACAATTCCTATAAATGAATAAATATGCATTCAGGATTGAAAAGCATTCATTTTAACATTCGTGAATCAATATTTGAATGAAAATCTGAATCCATTTCAATTCATTTCAATTCATTCTCGTTTGCTGGGTTCGGAATTCGGTCAAAGATCATCCTCAAAAAAGATCTTTCTCGAAAAATAAGAAACATTGAGAAACTCGAACGTCTAACATCGAGAGTAGATCAAATACCGGCTAATGTAACTTCATCGCAGAAAAGATTACAGATAGCGCCGTGGAAAAAGAAAAACTTATCGCAAATCGCAAAAGCGAGCGAGAGGCTTCCGGGAGAAAGTAACGCCGTAACACACCTGTGTTACCTGGAAACACTCCATGCAGGGAAAACGAACCATTTCCCCGAGACTCGATTCGTATTTTCACCCCGCGAACCGACCTTTGAATTCTAGTAATTCTACCCTTCACTTTCGCCCGAGCCCCTCCATCGCCTAACCTCTCTTGACACGTGGCGTCCTCTGGCAGTAAACCGTCGCACTGCTCCCGAACGAAACGCACTGTTTTTTTTGCTGATAAATTCGCGCACAATCGCATTGTCGCATCCGACAGTTGTCAGTTACATTGTTACCTTTACCCCCCGCGACAACGCTCTTTAACTTCTTCACGCTCCATCGCAAGGAAGACCACCTTCTCCACACTTCCTTTACCCCACTTTTCTGGAGTACAGAGAAATAATCAAGATACGTACGCAGTGTATACTTTGATCTGTTACGTAGCATTTGGAGGCTTAAACAGTAAGGGAGTTAGTATGTAGTAGCGCACCGATCCCGCTACAACACACAACTACATCACGCGGGAG